CCCCCCACCTGGCGCCATCCCTCCCAGGGCCTGGCCCTGTGAGTCCCAGGTATCCGCTAGCCACAGCTGGGTGCCTGGCAGGTCTGATGTGGTTGGCATCTCGAGTTTTGTTTGATCACATAATAGATACAACAGTTGAAAGAAAATGTATATAATGTCTAAATATTAACTAGATACCTAGTGTCAAAGAGGAAAAAGAAATGTTAATCAAATAAGATGAAGAACAGGGACTTTTCCCTGAGCGAACAAAAGCTCACTGCTGCTCTCAGCTGGACAGAGTCTCCTTCACCGCAGCTCTAGTTCAGATAAAGATTATTCCCTCGTAATGCATCTTTATGGTGCACTAGGGGCTCGGAACGCAGGGTCTGGTGTCCTGTAAATCACCCGGGGAACCAGGGGTGCTTTTTCAGGCTCACACAGCTGCATCGCTGTGCTGTTCACGGGAAGGGGCTGCTGGAGCTGAAGGACGCAGCTCACCCATCCCTCTTTCCAGCCCAGCCCAGGAGGCCACTGCCAGGGTCCCTCACCCTTGCAAGGCCAGGCGCTGGGAGGCCCAGCCTGTGGCCCAGGGCTCGCCTACACAACTAGCACCCGCACTCTCTACCCACCCTCTCAGCCATGCAAAGAACCTGTGCCACAGTCTAGTTTTACGAAAGACGTGCTTTCAAATTTGGAAAGGTTTGGACAAAATGGTATTAAAATTGAGCCCAGAGGTGGCAAACGGAGAGCTGAGTGTGGCCAGCACAGTGATAGGAAGAAATTTAAAACAGTTGCAATATTTTAAAATTGAGGGCTTTCCCCAAAAATATCTGGATACGAGGTTTCTGTTGAAACAGCAGATCCGGCAACTCTGGGCCCCTCACTGGAGCTGAGAAGCCACGTAGGTGGGGCGTCTGCAGGGTCTTCGTGGTGCCCACCCCCGCAAACTCCCCTGCATGTACCTTACTTGCCTGGAGACCTCTTGTCCCCAAAAGGTCACACTTGAATAAGAGACTCTTGCAGGAACAGAGCCCGCCGGGAACGTTAGGCTACAGCTGCTGGGGGAGAGTTGGTGTGGGGAGAAGAGCATCTCTCAGCTGGAGCCTCTTCCTTTTCTCTGCTCTTGATCCAGGCTTTTTCTGGGAGCAGGTTCTTCAGGACACTGTGATGAGAAGTAGGGGCTGTTTCATAGGGAGAACTCGGCCTCCGCAAGCCCCCCGGCCTGGAGACTAGAGAGAAGGATTGTTCTGTTTCCTCAGCTACACCCATGCTCCGTCAGACCCGCCTGAGTTTTACAGTGCTCCCAGGTGTGCCCAGGCCTCCAGCACGCCTCATTGCTACAGGCCCCAGAAGCTGCGGGTGCCCTCTCTGACCCAGAGCCCGCCTGCCCCGCCTGACCGAGAAGCCCTAACTGCTTCCCCTTTGCGCTCACGGTCCTGCGTGCCCCGCCACCTGAACATGCATCGAGGTCTTCTCATCCTCCTCCGCACGGTTAGATGATAACATTAGAGTATGGCTGTCCTTGGCCAGCTGAGTGGCTTTCCGACTGGTCATTTCACCTCCCTGCGCCTCATTTTCTGCATATATAAATTATGTTTTTATCAAGAATGAAATTGACTGTCTGGCCAGCGTGGCTCAGTGGTTGAGCGCCGACCTGTGAACCAGGGGGTCAGGGTTCGATTCCAGGTCAGGGCACATGCCCGAGTTGTGGGCTCCATCCCCAATAGGGGGCGTGCAGGAGGCAGCTGATCACTGATTCTCTCTAATCATTGATGTTTCTATCTCTCTCTCCCTCTCCCTTCCTCTCTCTGAAATCAATAAAAACATATTAAAATTTAAAAAGAGAAAAAAAATGAAATTGGCTTACATAACATAAGCAAAAATACCGGGCCTGGTGCCTGACATACAGTGGTCACCAATAATTATTTGAATCTAAATGCTGGCTCCTGCCATGCCTGCTCCCAGGAAAGCCTTATCCTCAGAACATGCGTGTGCACCCTTCTGTCCAGCCAGCCGGCGTGGGCGCTGAGCTGTCAGTAACAATCATCATGCCAAGTCGAATGCCTTCTAAATTCTTTTAAGCAATAGAAACTAACTCTGGCTAACTTCATTTGTGTGTTGTTTTTTAATTAAAGAAATTTACAAGGAGGATGTGTAATAACTCCCATAACTGAAGGGGATTTTTAAAAAATCAACAAATAAGAAGCAAATACAGGTTTTGGGAAGGCCTGCAAGCATGCCATACTCGCGGCCAGCGGGAGGCATGCGGCCCGAGAGTTCGACATGTTGCTGATAGAGCATATGGTGTACAGAGGTCGGTACTGCCCTTCGCCACACAGTCCCGGCGGCCGGCGGCCCACAGACAGGACCCTCCTCCAGTGCCGTGTGACTGACACGGGCTGATGGAGCTCGGGCACAGGCGAGGCAGTTGCCAGTGGGAGTGTTTCCCGCCGGACAATCGTGCCAGGAGTTGGAGTGGCCCGTCTTCACCGCCACCTGCTCCGTCCCCGCACTGAGTGAGGACAGTGCGGAGCCAGCGCTGATGACAGGCAGCAGCAGCAAGTGCCCTGGGTGGTTCTCAGCTCCTAAGACCTGGGGTTGGTTGTGAGTGCAGCACACCCCACACTGTGTGACTTACAAAAACACACGTATTACTTTCCTCTCATGTTGACCAGTCACGTCAGCAGGCCCTGTTAGAGTTAGGGGAGGAGGCGGGTCAGCAGGCCCTGTTAGAGTTAGGGGGGAGGAGGGTGAGCAGGCCCCGTTAGAGTTATGGGGGGAGAGTGAGCAGGCCACATTAGAG